CTCTTCTCTTCTCTTCTCTTCTCTTCTCTTCTCTTCTCTTCTCTTCTCTTCTCTTCTCTTCTCTTCTCTTCTCTCTATCATAATCAGTTAAAAAAATAGGATACACATGGCCACCTTTCACCAGCATCTGGCCTAGGCAGAACTCAGGTTTTATCTAGCAATGCATTTACATGCATCACGTTGCTGCAGAAACTAAACTGAACTGGCCTCTGAGTGCAAATCCCTGATTAGACATTTTTACAAAGGAACTAGCCTTGACTATCTTGCATAAATTCTGAGAGCCCTTTGTTGTCAACTCGCAGACTTGAGGTGCATTCCCAAACACTGTGTCCTGAAATATAATTTAGTCTGAACTGCACTGGATTGCAGAAGAAAGATATATATGACTTTTAACAGCTGTTGGAGTTTTCCTTTTATTCTGGTTTTTCACATCGCTGTTCTCTAGTTTGATTTTGTTTTACCCTGCTAAAACAAAGAGACAGCACCCAGACATTTCAAAGCAAAGTTTCTAGGAAAGTGTTATGGTAAATTAAACTGACCCTTGGATGCAAACACTTGATGCTGTTCAAAATACTTCCCCCCACTACAATAATAGGAAAGGATCAATTGCAGGAGGGACTGTCAGTAGAATTTAGCCACTGGCTTAGAAACAGGGTGCTACCTAATACTTTTGTCAGCCTATGATATGTTGGATAGTTATGGAAAATAGGTTGGATCCCCAAACTTGCTGGGAATTATGGGAGTCGAAGTCAATACCATCTAAAAGGTACCCCTTCTCGTGCCCGTCTGCAGGTTGGCTGAGCTGTTCCTATTTGCCTCCTGGATCTGGATTGCTGATCACTAGAAGTCAAACAGCTAAACCCACATTTTGATTTCCCACAAGGCCCTTCCTGAAATAGGTTCCCCAAGAGCATTGTGGGAAATTTTTGCTCCGTCCGGAATAAATAAATAAAATAGAGGTGCCTTGCTTCCAGTTCCAGCTTCCCCCATCTTCCCTTTTGAACCAAAACCTGCCCGCCTTCCCTTGAAAAACGCTTCCGAGCTAGAAGAGGGAAGAAGCTGAGGGAAGAAGTAGAAAAACTGGAGCAAAGATGCGAAGGGTAATAGAGAAGAGGATGGCAAGGGGAAGGATTAGCTCTAAGAAGGCGCTACCTGTCTTTTTGGAAAGTTTGCCAAGGCAAAACTGTACGAAGGAAGGCCTGGATGTGTAAGCTGTGAAATAGTGTTACGTTTAGCTAATGGAACGAGGGAGGCATGGCATGGCATTGCCAGAAGTACTGGCTGCCAACTTCAGCGGAGAAACACTGGCTGTGTGGCACATTTGCTTTGCCAAGAGGTAGAAGTGGAAGCTGAGTTCCAAAATTATTTATTGGGGAAAACTTACTAGTTTATAGATACGCCCACGTGTATGTGAATCTATGCATGCGTGCATGTATTTGTCTCCCTCTCTCAAGCCAGCATGGTGCAATGCTTAAAATGCTGGACCAGGCGTGGGGAAATCCAGGTTCCAGTCCTTCTAAGCCACAGAAACCGGTGGGTGACTTTGGGCCCGTCATTCTCTCCCAGCCCAAAACGGAGAAATCAAAGGGCATTTCTATCAGCCTGCGCTGGACCAGCATGTAGATTACGGTCCATGACCTTCATCAAAGAGGCTTTCTTCCTGCAGTGGATTAAGTTCATTGATTCAGGTGGATAACACACACCAGCACACAGGCTCACACATTCGCATACTTGTCTCCTGAAGATCCAGTAGAAAGGCCATATAAAACGAAAGTCTGCCCTCCTCTAGCGATGATCAAGATGACCAGATGAGCTGTTTCTCCAGAGCCAGGTGTTCAAAGCCAGCGCATACACGATTGGCGAGTTGCTCCGTTCGATTTATGAATCACTGTAGCGCACTGTGATGCCCCAACTTTGCATTTGTAATCAAACTTAAGGGCAGGCAGAGGGCACCAGGTTGGGAAAAGCAACCAAAAATGGGGGGGGGGAGAGCTTTTATTCTATATGGCATACATTCCAGTTTAATTGCCCAGTGACAACAAAGATTTCCTCCATCAGAAGCCAGCTCTCAGATGAACAGGACGGATTTCCATGGCTCCACGGAAACTCACTTTTGACACTGAATTTAGTTCAAAGCAAGAATCACTCCTGGAATACCACTAAACACATGGATTTGCACCCCATTCAAAACGTGAGGTTTTTTTTTTAAGGTACAAAGTTTCATGGGCTATTTAAAGCAGAAGAGATTCTCAGGTTAGACTCAATCTATCACAGCTTATAATTTTATGGGGTAATTTATACTGGGATGACTACAGTTCTTGCTATTTATCTTTGCTTAAACTTAATAGCATCATTGAAAGTGGTACCTTCCATTGTTTGTCATTGACTAAAGCTGTATCCGGAAAGTAAAACTTCCTTGACGTTTTCTAGACCCCTTGTTGACTCATCTGTGCTTTATTCTTTTATTTTCTTCCCGATTTCTATGTTCTACTGGGCTTGTTCCTACACTTTCTCTAAAGAACTGAATTAAAAGAAATCTGGCCGCCGTTCTTTTTTTTTAAAAAAACAGAAAATAATTTTCACACTGGCGCCTTCCAATGACCTTTCATTGCCTTTGAATATGTAATGTATTCAAAGCGTGTATGAGTACAGTCCCCTTCCCCAAGGAAATCAGAAGACTCAGATTTCTGTTGCCAGAAAGAAAACCCATAGACTTGGTTGTTCTTTCAAAGTTCCTTTATTGGTGGGAGAAACTCCTGGGCTGGGGCCATCTGGTATCCTGTTCTACATAAGAGGAAAGCCTCTTTTTTCTTTAAATCAAAGATACAAGGCAGGGACCATCCTTCCCTGCCTCGGGTCAGGATCCTGC